CAGGATCAATATCCGGTGGGTGCGTCCAGGAGGTGAAGGTGACAATTTCGTTGCTGTCGGCGGTGCCTAGATCCAGAACGAAGTTGAGAACAAACACATTGTTATTCAGTACATCCTTGCCGATATAGAGGCCTCCTCTTCCGTGGTACAGCTTGAACTCCTGTGTGTCAGTAGAGCTACACTGTGAGATCCCCGATCGATCCTAGGGGGGGTTATAGGCGCGTTTGCCCGAGGGGTTATGGGCGCACTGACCCGCTACTGAAACAAGCCCTTTTATCCCAATGGTCCAGTGGTTGGGATTTTGACATGGTATCAGAGCGGTCTCGGGTTCGATTCCTGGTGTATGCACATGTAGGCCGTTGCCGCTGTGCTTAGTCGTGGGCCTCCCAGTGTGGGGGGGTGTCAGTAGATCTGCACTGTTGATGCCCGATTTATCCTGTAGAGGGTTACAGGCGCGTTCGCCTGGGGGGTTATAGGCGCACTGACCCGCTACTTAAACAAGCCCTTTTATCCCAATGGTCTAGTGGTTGGGATTCTGACACTGTGTTGTGCTGTCTGCTTCGAGGTGGATGCCTTTCGCCATCAGCTGACTAACACTCAGTAAGTTGTAGCCGAGTCCCTCCGCGATTAACACCTTTGACATCTCCAATATGACGTTTGTCTCTCGTGACTGAAGTTGCACCACGCTTTGTCGTCGTGTGCGCAAGTTCTGGTTGTTGGCGACGGTGATGACGACTTCGCTTTGAAGTTGGTGTTCGCGTTGAACGAAGCGACCTGAAGAGCACATGTGTTGTCCGCAGCAGCTGTCCAAGAACCAGGTATCTTTCCCGGACGGCTCGCTTTGGGCGATGGCTGCGTATGTTGGGTTCGGTTGCACTGACTCGCGACGTCGAGTCCTTTCGTCGAATTGTTCTTCTGGTGAGTAGTGCGGCGGCGACTCGGTGATGCACGAGTCGGTCAATCTTGCCATGCAGCTGACGATGTTCCTTGTTCCTTGTGCAGGTTGTCCCGTCGACGTTGTTGACGTTTGCACTTGAGTGGTGGGATTTGCTTGCGTTGAGGCGACTTGACTGCTTGAATGTCGAAGCTGCCGTTGCGTTGGTGATGACTGCTGCCGGTTAGGGCAGTGTGTGCGGGGATGACCTGACGTATTGCAAAGATGACAGAACGGAGGTACAGGTTTTGGTTGATGCCGGTTGTTGTTGTTGTTGTAGCGCCGTTGAGTGTGAAATGCAAATTCAGGTACTGAGGTTTTCCTCTTGTGTCGCTCCTCTTGCTGGTCCATGTCTTGCTGTTCAGCGTGAATTTCGGCGCATACTGCTGCTTCGGAGATCTTCCCGTGAGCTCGGAGTATGGCGCGAGTGGAGCGCCAATGAGGACCAAGACCGCCAATGACGACTGTGACGAAGGCGTCTTCTGATATCGATCCTCCGCATCGAAGGAGTTTGTCGCGCAATTTGCGACAGCGGCTGATATACGCCATCCCTTTTTCACCCAGTTTCATTTCCACTGTTGTCAGTTGTGCCATTTACCGACTCTGATTGACGCTCTCTGTTGCCTGATACAGGTTCTTCAGGTGGTTGTACGCGAGCTCGGCGGAGTTCCCGTATCCTCGGTAAGACCGAATGTTCTGCTGCTGGTTCGGTGTGACGTTGCGTAGTAGGATTGTAAACGCCATCATGGACTGATATGTATACTGCTTGTCGTATTGCGTCCCGTGTGTTGGGTATGGCAGGGACCCGTCGAAGAAGCCAAGAATCTGCGCGCCTTCCATCATCAACTCGAATTCGAATGACCAGGTAAAGAAGTCATTTCCATCGAACGGTCTTGACGTCTGCAGTTTTAAGACGTGTGCAAACTGCGACTGAACTTGAAGTGCATCTAATGTCTTCTCTTGCTCAGGTGAAGGCTGCTGGCGCGGCATGAAGCTGACGGAACAACGCTGAGGTTCGTACGGGGCGAAGGTAGGTTGTTGCTGATTTCTTCGTGCATAGGATGAACCGTCGAGGCTCATCGGTGTTGCGTTGTTGTTGTTGCTGTTGTTTGACTGCGCAGGTGCCCCTTGCTGGTGTTGTTCGTAGAAGGACACGAAGGAGAAGAATTTCTCCATCATGTCTGGGTCGAAGGCCGCGGCTTGATTTGCAGGAGTTTCGGTAGACCCAGCTGCCGGTCTTGTTGCTATGCCCTCCTGTGTCTGTAGGCCAGAGGCAGGAGGCGGAGTAGGAGAAGTGCCGGGAGAGCCGTTAGAGGAGCTTCTCTCCTTCTGCGTTGCCATTGCCTTGTGATGTTGTAGGTGTCTTGATTGTAGTTGAATTTGTCATGATAGCTCTCATACCATGTTGGGCTGAGAAAAGCCCTTAGGATCTTTGCAGGACTAAATTTCTGAGAAGGACAATGTAATAGCGGAAGCGTTTAATGAAAGGTTTGTGAACCACCTTGCGCTGGTATGTGAGGGCAAAGTAGATTGATTAAGACAAAGAAATACAAGCTTTAATATGAGTACAAGGAAATATGAAGGGTTATAACTAATAACTATTTTGCTTTGCTGTTGCGGTTCGATACAGTGACGACTCGGGCAACTGCTCAATAGCGAGTCAGTTGTTTGTCCTTGCTGTCGCACTATACTTGTCAGGTCAAAGGTCGCTGACCTTTGACTTTCGCGTAACCTCCAGCAGTTGTTCAACCTCCGAGGGTTGACTCGCCAATGCTTTGATATGTTTCGCTTCGCTTTTGACTTGGTGTTTTGACACGAGAGAGGCGCTAAATCAATTGTTTCTAACAATACCAAAATCTTGTTCACAATTTTTATGTACAAATATTTAGCTAGCTACCCGAAATCGTAGATCTCGTCGTTGTAAGTTGCGATCGCCAAACCAAACTGGCGACTGGTTCCGATTTTCGACGACGCAGAAATGTGCAATGTTGCACAAAACTCGAGTGTAATTTTGGTCGCAAATTCAGAAACGTCGCACTCCAGCCATGCGATATAAATACTGGGGAGAAAGTAATTTTGCCAACCATGTTCGTTGAAGCTCGCTAACTCCCGAAGCGGATGACCCGAAGCTCGGCTAGGCAAAATCGCGCATCGTAAAATTAATTCGGCATGTCCCAAAGCCGGGATGTCCCAAAGCCAGGAATTCGCCCTCAGAGTTTGATTTGGAAATACTGTACACAAATAGTGTACCAGCGACGCAAACGCAGACATGCTATGGACCTTCTGCCCGTGTTTGTCATACTGTACCGCTTTATGGGCAGCGTTTAGATATCAAGCAAGAAACGGTGGGGATGGGAATAGACAAAAGTTGGGGCGGCTGAAAGGGATTAGAAGTTGCGAACCATCGCAGGTCAAGAAATTCTTATGCTCTTGCTAGATATGGTTGGGTGGATGTTTACATAGTGCTGTCAGGTTTCAGAATATACGCAGGTGATTTTCACACCCAACCTCCAAGGTCAAGAATTATGGTAGTGTAAATCACATCAGCATCCACTTTAGCTTGCTTCGAACTTCAAACCAAAAAGTAATGTTGGGTAACAGCGGAGTTGACACATATTCCGTTGGTAAAAGAAACATTTTGGACCCGAAACCTTCATGTGCTGTGTGCTCACCTCGGACCTTGTCGTTCTTGACCAACAGGCGTCTTGACACGGCAGCCTGTCTCGGCTGGTGTCGATCTGTGCAGCATCTTGCTTTGCTGCTGGTCATCTGGGCCCTGTTCGGCAGGCATAAAAAAATGGGCCTCGGGGGATGGGCTACAGTGAACCGACCACCCTGGAACCTTCTACAAGAGCGTGAAAGGTTATCAAGGCTCGATGTAAGCGGATCTACACCGAACCGGACAATAGCGGATTACCAGCCTAACGTCCCTTTTTTCGTTGGCCTTTTCAAACCCATTATTTTTTATCGAGCCATTCTCTCTGGCAAAGTGCCCATTTTCTGATCCGCCGCACCATGCGGCCTCGAGGTCCCGCACCATGCGGAGTATCAGTGATTCGGGGCAATCAAAAGTGACTGCCAGCCAATCACATGATCACGCGATCCATCTGGGCAAGTGCCGTCTCGCTTCTGCGAAAATAATTTGTAGATTGATGCCATCAATCTAGACCCAATTAATGGCAACCGAACACCCAAACCTTTTTTCGAAGGTGCACTGCAGCTACAGTCCGATCTCGAAGTTGTTTCTAGAAATGCCCAGGCGCCATTTTTTTGGGGCCCGTTAAAAATGCCCATAATGCCATCCGAACTGGGCCCTGGGGTGGTTTTGGATGAAGAATGGGATGGGAGAATGTGAGGCAGGGGATGGATGGAGCAGTTAGCTGATCGTTCGTTTTCGTACAGTACCCAAGCAAACCCAAACAACCGCGTTAAAAACAAAACCACCTCGTTGACTCGGCAACATTACCTTGGTGCATGGATGTGCAAGCACAGACCCAAGCTGTTGGCGACTAGAAAATTGTGTTGTGGCTGGTTTGGGGAGGTGAGCGAGCAGTACAGAGCGGGGCACACACTTCTATTCCCTCCCTTGTTTTCAAGGTCCCCTCCACCTCGTCTCTCTGTACCTCGAATTGCTGAGTTAGCTGCCCTTGTAGGTGCCAATGAGAAGCAAGAAAGTTATCCCGTACTACTGCCATTAGCGAGTGTCGTGGTGCTTAGTGTTCATGCCTTTTTCCGTCGTCCTCTTTTCCGTCTATTCATGGCGTCACCACAGGTAAACACTGCAGGCGCACACAGCCGAAGCCCGCACACTAGAAACCACCACTCTCCACACCCGCCGCACCCATCTGCACCGTTCCCTTCTGCCCTGACTTGCTCCACCACGTCGCCAACCAATCACCATCATCTTCGCGGCATGCTGACTCAGCAGCAGCTCGTGTCGCTCCTTCAGCAAGCCACGGACTCCGACGCGTTTCCCCCCTCTTTCCGCCGATACCCGCTTTCCTACCTTCGCGCGCAGGGAATCTCAGTCCCAGGTGACTTTTTCTGCCCACTATCCCTCGACATAATGACCGACCCCGTTATAATCGCATCCGGTCAAACGTTCGAGCGCGCGGAGATCGAGCGGTGGTTTGGCGAGGGGAAGCGCGTGTGCCCTGTCTCCGGGCAGCACCTCGAAAATCTCACCGTCGTGCCGAACAACTCCCTCCGCAGCGTCATCTCCGCGTGGTGCCTCGGCAACGGCATCAGGCTCGGCGCGGAGGATCGCACCAACCCTACCGCAGGCCAGCTCGCCGAGCCGAAACGCCGAGCCTCGTTCCACGCCGGCCCGTCGACATCCTCTCCTTCGAGATCGTTTTCGAGCAATGCCGGCCGCGAAGCCCGCCGGCAGTCCAGCGGCTCGTACGAGCAGAGCCCCTCCCCGTCGCCCCGGTGCCCTATTTGGCCCGTGTCGGCCTCGGTATCCTCGCAGTCTCCCTCCGCATCTCCCGCGTACACGTCTGCTAAGAGCACCGGCAGTCCCGGCATGCGGCGCGACTGGAATCAATATCCCGGGAGGGACGAGTGGAGCGGCCCGCAGCCGCGCCGCGACGAGTGGTCGGGGCCGCAGTCGGTCGAGTTTGCGATGCAATCCGGCATAGCGTCGCAGGCGGCCGTCCCGTCGCAGGCGGCCGTCCCGTCGCAGGCGGCCGTCCCGTCGCAGGCGGCCGTCCCGTCGCAGGCGGAAATGTCGCACGGTCACGGCGCTGGCTCTCCGGCGCCGCAGGAGAGAGACAGTGGCGGCGGCGGTGGCAGACTGCCGAATCGCATGCGACACTCCCTAGGCTCGCAGTCTATGCGCTACGATTATCCCGAGCACGCGTCGCGGTCGCCGCAGTCGCATTCCCTAATCTCCTGGGATCACGACGGGGATCAATCGGACCGGCATCATCAACCAGGAATGAATCCCGCTCTAGCGTACATGACGCCAAACCATCCCGTAGCGTCCGTCTACGTCACTAACGCGGCCGGCAGCCCGTCCGTTAGCCGGTTCTCCTCGCGCGACATGTACCTCACGTTCGCGCGCTCGTCCACCTGCGACTCGAGCTCCAACAGCCGGTCGTTACTCTTAGGCCGGGAGCACGGCACCGCGCCGCCGGAGCGTGAGGGCGCCCCGAGCGAGGGCGGCGCGGGCGAGCGCATGCTGACTCGCGGCGGAAACCTCGCGGCCGGGCGGAGCCAGAGTCAGAAGGAGCGCGCGCCGGGCGGAAGCAGAGCGGGGATGGTGCGGACGGAAGAGGAGGAGCACGCGCGGCTGCGCATTCCGGAGCTCGTGCGCCAGATGCAGGGCGTGGGCGCGGGGCGGGGATCGGGGGGCGGCGAGACGCTGCTGGTGCGCGAGCGGCAGCAGGAGGCGGCGGAGGAGCTGCGGATGATGGTGAAGGATTCGCGCGCGAACCGGGAGAGCGTCGTCGCGGCGGGCGGCGGCGTGCTCTCTGCGCTGATTAATCTCTTCTGGAGCGAGGACGAGGTGACCGTGGAGCACGCGGTCACTGCGACTCTAAATCTCTCGTTGACGTCGTCGTCGCACGCGCCGCTGATTGGCCAGGGCGTCGTGCCCGCCCTCGTCGCGGTGCTCTCGGGCGGCGCCGCCGCGTCGTGCTGCTCGTCGCCCGTCTCGTCGCCGAGCGTCGCAGGGTCCAGGGCGGGGCAGCGCCAGTGGGGGGAGAGTTTCACCGCAGCAGGCGCGGCAGGCGGAAACGAATTGGGTGCGGTGAAACTGGCGGTTTCGCAACAGGCGCAAGAGAACGCAGCAGCAGCGCTTTTCGCCATAACGTCTTCGTCGGATGCGAATAAGTTACTCGTTGGATCGACGCCAGGAGCCATCGCAGGGTTGACGGCGATGCTTTCGCCGCAGCCGTGGTCGCTTCGCGGACGAAAAGACGCGGCTTTGGCATTGTTTAACTTATCCCTATCGGAGAAAAACCGTGCTTCGCTAATGTCCGCGGGTGTAGTTCCGAAGTTACTTTCCATGTTACAAGAATACGGCTCGGGATTGGAGGAGAAAGCCACGGCGGTTCTCGTGAATATCGCGAAAACTCCCGCGGGTTGCGCGGCGATTCAGTTGGCGGGGGGGATTGCGCCGCTGGTTGAAGCGCTGGAAAGCGGATCCGCGCGCGGAAAGGAGGATGCGGTTGCGGCGCTGCTGATGCTGGCGGAAGACGAGAGCCGGCGGGACGAGATTCTCGAGGAGGGGGTGATGCCCACGCTGGTTGCGCTGCAACAGTCCGGCACTCCGCGCTCGCGCGTCAAGGTGAGAATTCTCCGCATCCGCGCTATAAGCTCAGTCTTCTCTGGAGAATATCAAGGCAGAAGAAATATATGGTGCCCTTACGCAGAATGGATGTATGCCTGACAAGCGGACTAATCTTCCATTCTGCAATCCCCTGGGTGGAGTCAAGGCAACAATGCTGAGAATTCACCTCGTGCCCAAGAATGTAGGGGCTCGCTGTGAGAAGGTCGTCTCCTGTCCTGAGGGAATGATGCTGGTATAGTTTTCCTCCATGGTAAACCTCAAATGTAAATGCTGCCCACCACAACTAGTCACATCCATTTGCAACTTTTAAGCGTGAGTGCTAAGTTACCGTGGACGCATTCAGGTTCCTGGACTACTGGTCCTGTAAAAGGAATTACGACCTGCGAGCAGGTAGGAAATTTTGGTAGTTGGTAATTTTTTCAATGAATGCAGTACCCTTGTCTGAGTCGCTCGTATGCCTGTGAACCCTTCTGTATTTCCTGAACGCCTTCGGTTTCTGGTTGTCCTTAGGGATCAGCTGGCATCAGAGCAGCACTGAGATCTTGTGGGAATGGGTGGTCTGAGTGTCCGTGGGAAGGGTGTGGAACGATATAAGAGAGTAGGGAAACCAGTGGTGGCGGGGAGAATTCAGTGGGTACGTGTTACGGTATACGAGGATTGATGGTGTTCAAGGTGAGGAGTGTGTTGTGACACCTGTAGGAGGGATTCACAGGGCCAGTCTTAAGAGATCGCACTTCCTGGCGTTGTCTCGAATGAGATGGACCTGTTTTCCAAACCAGGGGACGGTTTGGGAGCTGTATGCTGGGATATTAGAGATACAGGGAGGAGCATGAGCAGGAGTGCAGGGAGAAATGCAAAGGGGAGTACATGATATCAGTACCATGTCTGCAGTGCTTCCTCACCCTGATTTGGTTGCTGTTGCGATGTTTATTCTTCTCGCCCTGAAGGTTCCTGCTGTTTCCACACTCCTGCCATTGATGATACCAGTTCTTTTCTGCTCCTTTTGTAAGAAGACTTTTCCGGCATGCCCATAGTGGATCCCCAACCCCGTCCTCCCCCTCACCCACCCCGTTCACTTCACTCTCGCTACTCTCATTCAATAAAGGTTCCCATTCAACTAAACACGTTCTCCCCCCTTCCTCTCCACCGCCCCTTCCCCGTGTTCTGCCGCATCTGCTTTCAGGCTGCTCGTCTGCTGGCAATCTTCCGGTCCAAGAAATGATTGATTTTTTACATGCTCATGCGGTGCAGTTGAGTGTGACTCTGGCTCAGTGGAGCCCAGAAATGTGTGAATATGTTTTTTGTGCACGAGGTTACAACCAAGACAGGCAGGGATGGCAGAAAAAACCCCAATTCACTTTCCTGAAGGCCTGGGAGGTCTATGTACTGAACTGGCCTCTGTGTGTGCATTGAACTGGGTTTTCGTAGTTTGTCTCTGCAAAAAGGGCTGTACTATAAGGTGTAGCAGCTGGATTCACACACTTTTGGACCACTTCCAATAAATTATGGGCATTTATCTTAGCGGTAACACTCATGGAGCTCAATCGCACCCGAGGTAAGCCACGTTGTTATGAGTTGTAAAAGAGAGTGCGCAGATAAACGAATAACGAAGCTGTGACTGAATCAACTGCGAATGCAATGAATGCACAGACTAATGTAGGACTACGGTACTCTAGCTAAGAGGAAACCTCGGACGAGCGAGGTTGGGTGCAGGTTTGGCGATGGGAAAGCCGAAGGCGACGTGAGGAGCCTCGGCAGCGTTGAAATCGGCTGAACGTGCGAACTCCGAAAATCGGGTTGTACGCGAAGCAGTCAACCCCGATAAGGAATTCGGGAAAATTCCTTACACCACCCCCCCCCCCCCCCTTAAGAAAGGTAGTCAATAGCCGAAACACGCCGTCGCGCCAGATAATCACCAACAAGCGTCGAGGCGTCCAGTGAAGCGGATGGCACCCACGTGTCGTCCTCACTGGTGCGGTCGGTCGAGCGAATTAAGAAATCCACGTGGCGTCCAGCGGCGTCAAGGCGGACCCGATGAGCGAGAATCTTGGAAGGGTCAAGGGTTGGCTCCGGGACGGGGCGAGCTGTCGGGGCCGCTGGCTGACGTGCGATGTCGGTCGTGGTAGGCACGAACTTCCGAAGAAGGCTGATGTGGAACGCGTCATGTATATGCCAATCGTCGGGTAGCAACAGCTTCGCGGTGACAGGTGTCACCATCTTGAGAATTTGGAACGGTCCGCAAAATCGTGGCCGAAGTTTCGCAGGGCCGGGCAGGTTCAGGTTTTTCGTGTCGAGGAGGACTAGTTGCCCAGTAGTCAAGACGAGTTCCCGGCGAAGAAGGTTGGTGTATTTGCGGGAAGTAATATTCGCTTTGCGAATTGCGTCGGCGGCTTTTTTGCGGACTTCCTGGAGTTCCGTCACGAAAGTCTGGGAACGTGGGACCGGATTGGCGAGTGTAGTTGTCGTCGGAACCGCCGGGTCCATCCCATAATTCAGGAAAAATGGGGAGTGATTAGTCGTGCTGGATGGTGCGTTGTTGAAAGCGAATTCCAGCATTGCGAGCGAGTCTTCCCAGCGGGCAGGATCGGGGCAGTTTGTCCTGATTAACTGCTCCATGGTCTGGTTGGTCCGCTCTGTTTGACCGTCGGTCTGCGGGTGCTAAGCCGATGAGAACTGTAGCTTCGTGCCGTATTGCGCCCATGTCTCCTTCCAGAATTTGGATGTGAATTTTGGGTCGCGGTCGCTGATGATCGCTGAAGGGATGCCGTGCAGTCGCACGACCGTCGATATGAAAAGTCGCGCAGTTTCTTCGGCTGTGATTGTCGTTCGGCATGGTGCGAAGTGCGCCATTTTCGTGAAGCGGTCGACGACGACGAGAACACCGTCGTTGCCTGTCGGCCCAGCTGGCATCCCCGTGACAAAATCCATCGTCACTTGTTGCCACGGTCGTTCGGGTGGCTCGAGGGGTTGCAGCAATCCAGCTGGTCGCTGACGTGTCGACTTCATTGCTTGGCACACCCTGCATGAGGACACATAGCGCTGCACGTCGTTAGAGGAATCAGGCCAGTAATAGTGACGGTGCAGTAGTTTCTGTGTCTTATCGACCCCGAAATGTCCGGAGAGGTTTGAATCGTGTATCTCCTGGATGAGGAGCTCACGCAGCAGACGGTAAGCGGGAACCCAAATCCGGTCGGTTCCGGCTTTTAGGTAATAGTCCCCTTTCTGCGTCGTAGCCTGCTGATGGTTTCCCGTTGTGAAGAAGGGGTCTGACGTGTAGCCGTGGGTGAATAGTCCGGTAAGTAGCGGGTTCGAGTGGGTGATGAGTACTGCAGCGGATTGTACTGTCGGTCGGGTCAGGGCGTCGGCGATGTTATTAGCCCCTTTTTTGTACGTGATGCGGTAGGTGAAATGGCTCTCCATGTAGTCGAGCCATCGAATCTGTCGTGGGTTGAGGTTGGGTTGGGCTCGCAGGTACTGCAGGGATTTGTGGTCCGTGCGAACAGTGACGTCGGCGCCCACCAGGTAGCATCGCCATAGTTTAAATGCGTGTATGATGGCGAGCATCTCATTGTCGTGGATCGGGTAGTTGCCTTCGGCTGCCTGCAGCTTGCCTGATTCGTAGGCTATCGGTTGCAACCCGTTCCCGAAATCTTGGAGGAGCACAGCTCCGATGGCGAAATCTGAGGCGTCGGTTACAACTTCGAACTGTCAGAACATTATAGCTTATGCTTTTGTGTAGGCTGTAGTGGGGTATCCCATAGGGGGTACAACCCAATTAGGGTTAGTACTTGTACCCACTTCATTCATAGTTCATTCTCGTTCTATTATCACATGGTATAGAGCAGGTTCCCCTGTGGGAACTGTGCTTAGGGCCCACCACTTCGAACTTTTTTTTCCTGCCCGGAGCGCGCTCCGGGCTCTCTCTCTCTCGATCTGTCGACCTACCCTACGGCCCCTCAGACGCCCGCGCGCCGCCCGTCCCGGCCCTTCGACGCCCGCGCGCCGCCCTTAGCCGCCCGCGCGCCGCCAGTTTCGGCCCCTAGACGCCCGCGCGCCGCCCGTCCAAGCCCCACGCCGCCCGCGCGCCGCCCTTAGCCGCCCGCGCGCCGCCCGTCAGGCCCTGAGCCGCCGTCGCGCCACCCTTAGGCGCTCGTGCGGCGCCCGTCCCGGCCCGTCGGCGCCGTGTGCCGCCCGTCCCGGCCTCACGCCACCCGTGCGCCGCCCGTCAGGCCCCACGCCGCCGTCGCACCGCCCGTTCTGGCCCGTCGACGCCGTGCGCCGCCCGTCCCGGCCTCACGCCACCCGTGCGCCGCCCATCCCAGCCGCGCACAGCCGTCCCGGCCCCTCGGTGCCCGTGCGTCGCTCGTCCCGGCCCCGCTCCCAGCCGCCCGTGCGCCACCCGTCCCTGCCGTGCGCCGCCGTCCTGGCCCCGCCCCGCCCGTGCGCCACCTGTCCCTGCCGCACGCCGCCGTCCTGGCCCCACGCCGCCCGTACGCCACAGTGACACCCAACCGCCCGTGCCACACACGTCCCCGAGCCACCCGAACCGCCTGCGCCGCTGAGGAGCCGAGCCGCACGAGCCGCCTGTGCCGCTGATTTCCCGAGCCGCCTGAGCCACCCGAGCCGCCCGAGCCGCCCGAGCCGCCCGAGCCGCCCAAGCCGCCCGAGCCGCCCGAGCCGCCTGCGCCGCTGAGGAGCCGAGCCGCACGAGCCGCCTGTGCCGCTGAGTGCCCGAGCCGCCCGAGCCGCCCGAGCCGCCCGAGCCGCCCGAGCCGCCCGAGCCGCCCGAGCCGCCTGCTCCGCCCGAACCGCCCGAGTCGCCTGAGGAGCCGAGCCGCCGGTCCCGCGGAGCTGCTGTTGCTGCTGGGCCGACCGAGCTGCTGTGTTGCCGTGTTGCTGTGCTGCTGAGCTGCCCGACCCGTCCTGTCTGGTGAGACCGTCGACTGTTGTCATGGCTACCCCCAGTGTCCTTGCTTTTGACGCTGAGGGCCGCGCCATTGACTTTGAGGTCTGGGTCGACGACCTGCAGCTGTTCTTGCAGTGCGATAGGGTAGACGACCTTTCTCTCTTTGACCTTACCTCTGGCGCCGTCCCTGCCCCTGCTGCTGATGCTGACCCCACTGTTCGCTCCAAGTGGGCCACACGCGATGCTGCTGCACGTCTTGCTGTGCGTCGCCACCTGCCTACCGCTGAGCGTGCACACTTTAGTCAGTACAAGAGTGCCCAGACCTTGTACGACGCTGTAGTTGCGCGCTACTCCTCTCCTACCACTGCTGCACTGAGCCGCCTCATGCTCCCCTTCCTCTTCCCTGACCTTGCCGCCTTTCCCACTGTCGCTGATCTCATTACGCACCTCCGCACTAGTGACACCCGCTACCGCGCTGCGCTTCCTGCTGACTTCTGCGCCAAGAACCCTCCCCCAATGTACATCACTCTCTAATTTCTAGTCACTCGTCTCCCTGAATCCCTTCGTGTAGTCCGGGACCACTTCCTCGCGGTCTGTCCCACCACTCTCACAGTCGACAGCCTCGAGAAGGCCCTCCTAGCGGCGAAGAAGAGCATCGTCGCTGTAGGAGCCTCTCGAGGTGACCCCCGCGCCCCCATCTTTGAGGGGTGTTCGCCTTCCCCTCTCCTGCCCTCTGTAGCCTCTGCCGCTGCGGCCGACCTCGTTGGTCTTGAGTCGGTCGGTGCGGCGTCTGCCCCTAGTGGGAGACGCCGCTCAGGCAAGGGCAAGGGGGGCAAGGGAGCGGGTGGGACCAGCGGGGGCGGTGGAGGTGGAGGTGGAGGCGGCGGAGGGAGTGGGGGTGGCGGTGGAGGTGGTGGCGGGGGTGGGGGTGCTAGTGGCGGCAGTGGAGGCGGAGGTGGCGGCGGCGGTGGCGGTGGGAGCGGAGGTGGCGGAGGCGGTGGCGGTGGAGGAGGAGGCGGGGGTGGCGGTGGTGGAGGTGGTCGGAGTGGCGCTTCGCAGCGGAGCAGCACTGGAGGTGGTCAGCGCCAGCAGCAGCAGCAGCAGCAGCGTTCTCGCGACGTCCCCAACCCTCAGCAGCTCCGTGAGTGGTACACGCAGCGTCAGCGTGGTGGGAGTTTTGGTCCTTGCACCTACGTTCTTCGCACTGGCGACCGCACTGGAGAGCAGTGTGGGGGTACCCACTCCGCCCAGCGCTGCTTTGGCCGCCTGACGGACGCTTGGCGCCAGCAGTTCCCGGAGGCCGCGGAGATCCCCCG